TATACGTAACGTACGTAAATAACTAAACTTAACTACTACCTAACTAAACTTAATTAACTAACTAACGTAACGTAACTAACGTAACTACCTACTAACGTAATAAGTATACTCGTCTACTCTCTCTCTCTCTCTCTCTCTCTCTCTCTCTCTCTCTTCTCTCTCTCTCTCTCTCTCTCTCTCTCTCTCTCTCTCTCTCTCTCTCTCTCAATGTATGGGTGTACCCATGCAATGAACACAATGCATACAAGTATCTATTAACTTACGCTAACAAGAGGAAGACAAGTGAAAGAAAAGAAAGAGGCACCTTGGCTCGGGCCTGAACAAAACTGGGCTATTGTGGCACGCCCAAGACAATGAATCCTTATATTAGATGAATGGTGTGACATTAGGGCAATTTCTTTACAAAAATGCACTTGTACAAATACATATTTCCAAATACATACAAATTTAAAGAAAATACATAAAACAAGAAGAATATGTACAAAACAAGTCCTCTACCCCTCAAGTAGTACATTATGTTTAAACTTTAAACACATATAACTTGATTTTTAAGTAATCATGCCTTTCCCTTGATAAATCTTTTATAAATATATTCGCGATTTGCTCTTTTTGTACCTCTTCAGCCTCTATCATTTCTTCGATAAAATGACAATCAATCTCAATATGTTTTGTTCTATCACGAAATATTGGGTTTGCAACAATTGCTAAAGCACTTTTATTATCGCAATAGATGAACAATCTGCCAACTTTATAATCTAACCAATATATGAGATTTTGAACCCATGTAATCTCTGCCACCACTCCAGCAAGAGCCCTGTAGTCTGCTTCAGTACTTGATCTGGCAACTATTTTCTATTTTCTGCTCCTCCAAAATATTAAGTTATTTCCAAGAAACACACAATAACCCGAAACTGATTTTCTAAAGTCGGGATCTCCAGCCCAATCTGCACCTAAATATCCAAGTACATACCCGAAATCCAGATTCACTCGTTTGTTTTTTTTATAAAACAAAACACTATAAACAGACTCTGTAACATGCCTCATAATCCTTTTCAATGCCTCCATGTGTACAGTAGTTGGCACATGCATGTACTCACATATCTGGTTAACATATGAAATATCTGGACGGGTAAGAGTCAAATATTGTAATGCGGCTAGTGCCCCTGCCATACTTTTGTATTTGTTTGGTTTTAACACTGGGTCTCCTTGATTGACACATAATCTCCTATTTAAAGCTACAGGAGTTCGACAAGTTTTACAATTCAACATATTGGCCTTGTCTAGAATATCTAAATCACATTTTTGCTGTAAAAGGCAAATCTCCTTATAAGAACGATCCACTTCAATTCCTAGGAAATACCTCAATTCTCCTGGGTCCTTCATTTGAAACCTTTTTTTGAGGAACTCCTTAACTTATCATCCTCATATTTCTTCTTGTAACAATAATGTCATCCACATTTAACAAGATAGTAACAGGACCTTTCTCACCTTTCAAAAGGAATATAGAATTATAATTAGTTGATCAAATAAAACCTCTCCCCTTTAATGCATCATAAAAACTATGGAACCAGGTTCTAGATGCCTGCTTCAGCCCATATATAGATCTCTTAACTTACAGACATAGTCAACTGGGTTTTGCTTCATTGAACCCAAGTGGTTGTTTTATGTATACTTCCTCCATTAAGTATCCATGCAAGAAAGTATTAAAAAATATCCAATTGATAAAGTGGCCATCGTGCATGAGAGCTAGGGCTACAACAACCCTTACTGTAAAATTTTTAACTTGACTAAGGCCAAAATCCCCAACAAGAACTTTGGATGCAATGCATCCCAAATTCCAACCCATGCCCTTAGTTTCAATTTTGGCTATATCTTTAATTAAGACGTGGGAAGTACATTCTAAAAAATTAGGATCGCAGCCCTCCACCCCACCCCATGGAGAGCGATGCTCCGGAAGCGCAAATCACACACCGCGGGTAAAAAAAATTTTCCTATCACTTTGCTCGTGCCCATAACCCTCTCTTTATTTTCTTTCCCCTCTTTCTTCTCAACTATTTTCTTTTTCTTCCCTTCACTCTCAACTTTACTATAAACAAGCCAGCCTCTGTTTGCCCCTCTGATCTCACACAGTGACAATAAATGATTTGATGATCTTGCACAGTGACAACCAGTCATTTGATGTCTAAATCTAGAAACTAGAGATAGAAAGAGAAGGGACCTGGTTCTTTCCAATCTCTCTAGAGAGAGAGAGTATCTGGATGTTCAATAAAGCAGCTGGGTCTACGGAAGCAAGCCCTAAACCCTCTTTTTATTGTCTCCTGGTTCTTACCAAACTCTCTAGAAAGAGGAGGATTATTTGGATTTCCAAGAAAGCTGCTAGGGATATGGAACGCTGCTGTCTGATCATTTTTAATTTGTTCTCTCCTGATTGATGATTGGGGAATTTTTATTGTGTTTTACATGTTAAAATTTTAATGGGTTTCTCTCAGTTTTATGAGAATTCACTTATGAATGAATTAGGGTAAGTTTTATGATAATGAAATTGAATTTGTGGGAAAGCATGACATTACCGATGAGTTCATGGCTGGCAACTATTCAATTATAAAGTGAACTAGATTTTGAATTTTGTATCGTGGACACAAGCAATATTACTCATAGAAAACTATAATGTAGAACCTCAAAGGATCACTAGACTAAGGTATCTGAGGTATCTGACAATGATGTAGGATCCACTTTGGAGAAATATATACTGGAAAGTTGGTTACTTGCTTTGATAATTTCTCTTTGCAAGGCCTGCCTATACCAAATCCTTTGTTACATGCTCCTTCAATACTAATTCATGTGGTTTTAGGACATATCAATCTTTTTTTCTTTTTTTTTTTAAGATTGCCACTTGTTTTTTTAATACTAACAGGGAAATATTGTGTTCCATAACAATCACCTCGTGTCTGAATGTAATCGTAATAAACCAAGACTAAAGAATTTTCACACAAAGATCCAGGATTTGAGGAATCCATAATTTTGCCCCAACATATAGTGATTGCCATTTTCTTAATATATAGAAGAAGAAGATGAATGCTTGGGAACACTGTCATTTATGATCCTTGATTAATTGTGGATGATTTAAATAGTTTCTCATTCAATAAATTAATACTACCACCAATACAAATCCTTTATGGATTAAACCGGTTAATTACCTGGTCTCCAAGTTGATAACTTCCAGGTGGTACCAAACACAGGTTTCCCAGCCCCCACTAAATTCTAGAAAAGTTACCAAACACAATATTTTTCACTACAACGAGGAAGATCATCTAGCTTCTCAGGGAGAAGGAACTTCCAGGTTTCAAATACAACCCATTTCCAGTTGTCAAATTGGCCCTAAAGGTTACCCCCAAGGACTTTGTACACCCCACACTAGGTCTCCTCCACCAATGGCGCATGGGATCTGGGTCCAAACTTGTCTCATAACTTAGGAAGCCCAGGCAAAACCAGCAGAGAGCATGACATAGGATAGGGCTAGACCAAGGCTCAACACATAAGCATAAGCCAGAGCTTAAGGGCTAGGGCGTGCCACCCTTAGGCTTCTCAACAATAAAAAAATACCACATCTTGCCTCAAATTACTCCCAAGGATTTCATACACCCCATACCAAGTCTCCTCCACCTATGGCGCACAGGAACTAGGTCCAAACTTGGGAAGCCTAGGTAAAACCAGTAGAGAGCATGACATGGGATAGGGCTAGATCAAGGCTCAACACATGAGCATAATGCAATGCTTAAGGGCCAGAGCGTGCCACCCCTAGGGTTTCTCAACACCTAAAATCTATGTTAGAGACGGAGTCTAAGTTAAAAGTGTTGAGAATGAGGCCCCCATAACTAGTATATATAACATAGAGGCTAAGGTTTTTAGTATTAGGGTCTTGCCATCATTATGATACCCAATCTTGGCCTTTGATCATGGAGCCTATGGGGTGAAGAGATCTCATCTATTAATTCTTCAGATCAACCACAATGATTAAAATGAATGAGGTGGAACTATTATCCCTTAGTTTCCATAATTCTATTCTCTTCAAATATTGTGTAGAAAAACTACCAAATCAATTTCAATTAATCTCTTACACTTTCCCTTTTGAAATCAATCAAAATCTCTACACCATAATTGCCTAAA